CACTCGGCCTGGCTTAAATAGGGACTTTGGATCTTTCAGATAGTTTGGACCCAAGCCATTAAGGGCTTTAAAGGTCAAAACTAGCACCTTGAAATCTGCCTAGAAATGGACCAGTAGCCAGTGCAGCTGTTTCTCACAACTAGAGTAAACCCACTGAATTAATGAGAACTTGAAAGGTCAGCACTTCTGTAAATTTTACTGATTCAGTGGGTCTCAGTCTTGTAATCTCAGTCCTGTCATTCGAATCCTTTCGTTGGGGTTCCTGGACCTCTCCTTGTTTCACTTAAGATAAATGCTTTCCATCTGGCAACATCCTGGTGGATATGAGACTTTCTCACATACTAATGGTATAAACAGATTTGTCCCTGGCTTTCCACTCTACCAAATGCATCTGAGGAAGCAGACTTTAGTCTGTGAAAGCTCATGCTGCCAACTTCTTTCTTTCACTTAGTCTCAAAGGTGCTACAAGATCTCTTTACATACTAAATTGAAAATAATTTTGCATGCACAAACATGCACACACAGAGGAAACTACTACCACCACTTTTACTGCCAGATCAACCAGCAAGTTGCCAGATTGAAAAGATTTATCTTAAGTGAAACAAGCAGAAGGTCAGGACCCCAACTGAGATTCTGTCTGAACCTCAGAAGGAATTTCCTAAAGATGAAAACCATTCAACAGTGATTTAGACTCTGTCAGAATGTGCTGGGCTCGCCTTCATTGGAGATCTTTCAACTGAGGCTGGATGCCCTTGGGGTACCTTCCAACTCTTTGATTCTATTCTGTGAAAGTATCCTCATCAATGCAGCTCAATTGAAGGATGAGATCCAGGCTTGCAATATAACACTGCCACCAGCCTCCCCACCCTGAGATCCACAGAACATACCAGGAAACCAAAATTAACAAGTGAAAAATCAAATACAGCCACAACTCTATTTTTGAACATAGACACTAGGACAACACCTGCAATGTCCTATCTTCAATGCTGAATTCTTCTTATCAATGGCACAAAACTTTCTAAAGGTTACTCAGGAGACATACCTCACATGCTCTGTTCACACTTGTTTGTACAGAAGTGCAGCCCCACCCCACCCCCAAAGTAGATCCTATTAATTGCAGAAATTAAGAATCTCTTAGGAGTCCTTTGCCGTGCTTTCTAGACAGAAATTATTCGTGAACAGACTGGATGGATAGACTGGGTTGAAACAGGCCCAGACCTAGTAATAGCTCCATTTCAAGGTATGGAAAAAAAGTACTTTGCCACTTAAGTCTTAACAGAAGGCTGCATCACTTTTTTGTTTGCTTTGTTTATGGATATGAGGCATATTGTGAACATGCCTACGTGGTAAACACAATGACTGGTCATGGCTTCCCACAACTAATTACATTTTCCTTCTCTGTCTCTCTTTTAAACATCATGACAGAAGCATACCGTGTTGTGGGAGTTGCAAAAGGACACACTAGAGCACTGCTCAAAATGTTTGCACTCCTTTCTCAGAATATTCAAGAGGAAGAGCTGAGATCCACCACACTGACAGGTAGTCATTGGCAGAAGGGGTATAAAAAGGGAGGACAAAGAGTTCTTTGCAAATAATTTGTATTGTCATCAAGTGATAAATCCCCAATACTTTTACAATTGGTCTTCTGTAGCCACAGATCTGTAGCCACAGATTCAACCATCTCTAGCATGGAAATGGTTTTTTAAAAAAATCCAAAAGCAAACCTTGATTTTGGCATTTCATATAAGGGAAACCATTTTACATTTACAGATTTATGTATCTAGGGGGCCATCCTGGAACCAAACACCATTGGATACCAACTATCTACTTTATTACCAATCTGACTGCTGCCAAGTTGGTTTATTTCCTTTTTAAAGAGCAAAGGCCCCACAAGCTATTCCACAGAAATACCATGGTGTAAGGCTGTGTGTTAGTGTTAAATTATAAAATAGGTCATACTATCTCCAGATTATGTCACTCTCTTCCTGCACCTTCAGCTCACATGTAGCTACTAAATTGGTGACAACATCTCAAATGGCACACCTTGCCCTTTTCAGCTACTTGCAGAACAGCATAGAGTTTTGTATTTATATTTTTCACCACAAAATAGAAAGGAAAGAAGTAATGATTGATAAGGTGCATTGTGGGAGCAGAAACAAAGAGCGCACATGCAGAAAAGTACCGTAGGTTGCTGAACTGAGTATTTTATCTCACTGTTGCTGAAACTCTCGAATTAGATCCTTTATTTATTTTTATATATTCTCTTTATATATATTCTCTTTGTATCACAAACCTTTCATTTAAAAAATGTCAGGACAGCTAACAGTGTTTTGCTGGTTTCATTAGGTATTTTTGCTAAGGTAATGTTAAAGGTAATGTTATCAATATAACAAAAAAGTAAAGCAAACAAAAACCTAATAAAACCAAGAAACTAATCAGTAGTTGAGATTGTTTGTTGGGACAACTCATCATTCAACAGATAGAGTTTAGCCTGGAAACAAAATGTATGTAAAGCTGGTGCCTGTTGTACTTCTTGTGAGAGGATATATCAAAATTGGGAAATAACCATGGAAAAGAGAAGCCCCCCTCCACTTGTGTCATTTCTCGAAGTGATGGGACAAGATGGGCTTCTCCCCAAAGTCTAAGATGATGGTTGGCTATCATTACCTTCTTGACTCATTTTGACTTAGTATGAGGACACTGAAGAATACACACTGGTATTCTTCAATCCTGTATGCTAGACTATTACATTAATGGCCAGTCCATATGATTCCTTCAGCATACCAAGATACAGTGGAACCTCTACTTACGAAATTAATCCGTTCCAGCAG